CGTTGTTTATATATATATATATATATATATATATATATATATATATATATATATATATATATATGAAACAATATTTTGTTTATAGACATTATAGTCGTATAACAAATAATTTAACAACAATTAAGGTGTACTATATACAATAAAAATAGAAACTATTGCTAAAATAAAACTGTCGTTATTCTTGTTTAAAATGAAGAAGAAGAGGCAAAACTACTGCATTTACCAGAGCTGTGAAATTTCTTAAGAAGGTCTTTCTTTGTCGGAAGCATTTGAAAAATCCTCTGAACCGGAATAAGCCGGGACAGTAGGGCTGAAATTGGGACAAGAGTCGGCATCCTGCGGGTAGCATTTGAAAAAATCCGGAACCAAGAGTGAAAAATCGGACAAAATAGCACGTCTGCGCTGCAAATCCCAGCGTGTTAATTTGACTCATTTTATCTGTGTAATTTCCAGGTACCATTTTATTCGTATTACTTTAATACATAGAAATATAATATGTTTTGCGTAATAATGAGAACACGTCTTGTGGAAACGTACACTGCAAATCCGAGTGTGTTATTTTTAAACGCATAAGTGTAGTTGTCTGAATCTCTTTTCACATATTTCTTACCGTCTTAAGTCGCGTTATTTAATACGCTCAAACATATAAAATTCTAATTTATACATCATAAATTGAATGATGTGATTTGAAACAGCAAGAGACGTGTGAGAAGAATTTTAGCCAATTGCATGCTTATGCGTTAAAAAATAACACTCACATTTGCAGTGTAATAACAAGATAACGCACTTTGTTGTTAAAACATTTGCAATGTGTTATAAAGATGCATTTATTTATTTACATGTTTCAACAGCTTAACATGTTAAATGACATGATTCGGAAATTATAAATTATTAAGGATTTTTATGAAAGAAAATTATATGAAGAAAGAGTGAAAATATTATTCTGCAAATGTATTTTATTTACTCGAAATAATTATTTTAATTGAAATGAAAAGCATGTTATGTAAAATTGTGAAAATCACAAAACTGAAAACAGGTGTAAATCACAGTTTACATACTTTGAACTCAAGTGTTATTTTGGTTGAATTCTTTTTTTACAAGTTTCTTACCGTTTCGAGTTATGCCATTTAAAAGGTTTAAACGTATAAAATTATAATTTATACGTCTTAAATGACGTGACTTAAAACGATATGAAACCTGTAAAAGAGGCTTCAGCCAAATTATACGTTTATGCCTTTAAAAGTAATGCACTTGGAGTTGGTCACCTTATGATATCGCAACAATCCTTTGGAAATTTTAACCGATCTTTTCTTCAAAATTCATCCCGCAATCGGATGCGAATGTGTGCTCATCTTTTAATCTCAGAACTCAGCAATATCCTTATATACAGTACAGCACGACGGCTATGATCGTGGCATCAATTCAATCCACAAATGGGATTTATCGTCTATCCTATTCCCTTTCCGTCGCGACCGTAGACCTCTCGTCTGCCTCGATTTTCTTATCGCGCGAGAAGATCCTCCGGAGACACGTTCCCTCAACGATTTACAAAGTGTTTCTTGTTTGCCCCTTTTTTTGTTCTCTTCTTCCTCGCCTTCCGGAAATGACGCTTGCCTCGGAATCACCATTGTTCGATTTGTCGCGATCCCTCAAATTCTTTCAAGCCACTGGCCCGAAGTCTCTGCCAATACAGCGAGTGAAAGCCGGGAAAGCCGAGATTATAACCCTCGGCGCGCGCGATAAGTTGTCGAATGAATTACAGCACGAAGACGCCTGACGGCATTAACGGATTACGCGTGCTCGTGCGCTCAAAGGTAAGTCGATTCTCACTGAGTGATCGATCCCGCCGTGCGATGCACTTACGTTGTTCCCGGCGCGTTTCCAACTTGGCGGAAGATCCTTTCGCGATACACACGACGTATCAGACACGTCGTTATCTGAAAAGCACCGCCTCGATGAATCGTGGCTCGCCGGGACAAATTAGTATCGCTTATAAATTATTCTTAAGTCGGAGAATTACGCAGTGCTCCCGCTTCCTAAAGGGATTACATTAGTCGTGAGTTACCTCATTCGGATCGTCTTGCAAATTGGAATTATATATTAGGACCTTAACTTAGTTTCCGCCCAAAAAATACTGAGAAAAAGCATTTATTGTAAAAAATTTATTTAAATTATTTCAATGAAAGTATTTTCCATCACTTTCTACAACTTTTTGCCATCTTTCTGGCAACTGGGCGATACCATCTCGATAAAACGATGTTTGTTTCGAAGCAATCCATTCGTCCACCCATTCTCG